AAAAAAAAAAAAAAAAAAATTGTTCAACATCAAATGAAAGATGGAACAAAATAATAATAATTATAAAATCGCAACGTGCGTCTTATTAGTGTAAACGTAATTTTCTGTCGCATCTCGTTGGCGCATTTGTATCACCATTTGCCCCCCTCCCTTTTTTTTCCATCTTTCTATACTGCGTCTCCTTAACAATACTCTCTTTATAAGAAAAACTCTATTTATCGCATACATACATATATACATACATTAAAATTGATTGAATATACATAAATGGTAAGTAACAAAATCCTTTTTTACGATTATTTATAATTTTGTTGCAAGGAAAACAAATTTGAAAAATAAATTCGACTTCTTTTTTTTCTTTTTTTTTTTTTTTTTTTCATACATCTACAAAAAACGGAGACGAGAAAATATTCTTTCTCCCGAAAACAATATATCAAGGAATGTGCCAGATTTATATAAGGTTGCTTTGTTTCTCCTTCCTTTCTTTTTCTTTATACCTTTTTATTTCTCTTTTCTTCGTTATTTTTATTATTTTAAGTAACTAACCACAAGAGTCAGACGAGAAAACGTCGATTTCATGATTATCTAAAACAGAATATAAAAGTGACTTGATACAGAATCGTTAGTAGTGCACACATCGAGATGTTCGAAGAAAAAAAAAAAAAAAAAAAAAAAAAAAGAATTAAATAGCTTCTAAGACTTCGGGTGCCACTATCTAAAAAATAATTATCTAAAAATTTTTTAACATTATTCCTTTTCAAATATATTCATACAAGCATTCATACAACGACGCTCTTTTTATTATTTATTCGACCATATATTTTGCACGATATACTTTCATTTTCACCTCTGACCCTCCTCTGATAACCGCAGAATTCACCTTCTTCGTAAGTATTTAAAGAGAAAGTTTAAAATTTACGAAACGATCGTACGAGAGAGAGAGAAAAAAAAAAGAAATCTATATAAAAAATAAGACGTGCCGTGCAACTCAGCAAGGAGAAAGAGAAATAATGTTAAAAAAATAGATAAAAAAAAAAATATGGATATCTTCGAAGTTATAATTTATTTGTTCTTGAATCCCATAATTCTCGTTAGATCGTAACGTGTATTTTTTGTATATATTCTCAATGCACTTGTTGAAACTTACATATATACCATATTCTTTGATTTTTCTTTCCATTTCCTTTTTATTCAATATATATTTAGCCTCTGCGATTGCGAGTTGAACACACCGCGTTACTAGCACTTCAAATCGTTTACAAATTAAACGCAGGAGACGGATATCGATCCGATTTCTCACATTTCATTCATGATTGCTTTTTCTTTTTTTTCTTATTTTTTTTTTTTTTTTTCATGCAACATATATTCGTACATACGTATCGAAGGATGAATCTTATAGAAATTTTTGTCGTTTCTACGACCTGTTGATATTGATATTGGATTTGTTTCTTTGTGTATGTATTTATACGCACACGACTAAAGGAATAGAAGAAAAAGAAAAAAGGGAAAAAAGATCACGAAGAAATAGAGCGACTTATTATATCACAGTATCGACGCAAGCTTGTATGAAATCGCAGATAGAACAGCATAAAGGCCAAATGGCGACACTACGCGCTTTTCTCATTATTTTTCTCTCAGTATGAATAATTATTTGAGGAGGACAATAATTTGTTTCTTCGTTCTCACTTGTAAGAAGAAGCATTGAAATCCATGTTCACGCACTTTATCATTTTCTTTCTCTCCCTCACACTCATGCATTTTTTTTCTTTTACACTCTCTTTATTTCTCTTTCTCTCTTTCTCTCTCTCTCTTTTTCACTCACCGCATATTTTCATCTTTTGTTCAATCCATGGCAATGACTCTTACATCCATGGTCCATGATAACTTTGCATGAATCTAAAGTTCTCAGTATCGTTAGTAACAAAATAGTAAGCAATAGCCACTGTGTTTACGCATCCTGAGAATAAATCGGGGTTTTTTGTTTTTTTTTTTTTTTTTTTTTTTTTTGTTTTTCAAACTCTTGTTTAGATTTCTTCTCTTTATATCATTCGTATATCCGATAAGTTTTTTTTCTTTTCTTTTTTTCTGCCATTATTAAACGATTTATCATCTGAATACGTATCACTGGCGAAATACAGTATGCAAGTAATATTCGAAAATATTTTTTCATACTTTTTTTATCCCTTTTTATTTTGGTTTCTTAGCTGATGAGAAAAACAGAAAACAACAGTTATTCGATTATTTATGCGTATATCACAATACTTATCTATACACTAATTATATTAATTGCTAAGTAAACAGCAGATAATACGATACGTTATATAATATATATAAAATGCATAAACTCATTCGAGAATCATTATTTTTTTCAATTCATTGAATACTTTTTAATTGACGTCTTGCCAATTTCACTACGCGAAAAGAAATTAAGATAAAAATAAAGGAACTCGAATATTACTTTATACTGCATTTTTATACCCATAAAAGGGAAAAACTTTGGCAACATACTAAACGTTGGCAACAACATCCTCTCTCCAGTGTTCCATTGTTTTTCATTTCTTTTGTTTGTTTTCAGCTGGGCAGCACAGCCTTTTTACCATACACGCAAAATATTCTTTTTTTTTTTTCTTTTTTTCTTTTATACACGCATAAGCACTCGCATTAGCTTCTGGTTTCTCCGTATAATTGTTATCGATAATCAGCAAGTACAATTAATAGTTAATCGAATAGCTTCATTGTAATCATTAATAATAATTAATAATAGTTATTAATATACGTATATACATTACAGAAAAACTGTTTTACACTGAATAACAAATTGTACAGTGATACAAGGCTAACACTGAGATCGTCGGATACCTTTCTCTCTCTTTCTCTTTCATTCACTCGCTCGCTCTCGCTTTCTTTCTCTCTCTCTCTCTCTCTCTCTCTCTCTCTCCCCTCTGTCTCTCAATCATTATTTAATCGTTATTTCTTCTTTTTACTTCTTTGAACACTATCAACACGCCCTCTCTGATAATTAAGTTTTCATCTCGAGCAATAATCCACGAATACATTAAACATTTTTGGAAAGCTTCTTCAACTGGAAGCGCGTCTGTAAATCCAATCTCTGAAAAAACGAATAAAATCGATTACTTTTAGATCAATAACATTCCCAAAAATGTTTTAATTATTCGTATGATTATATAATATAATCACGTAATTCCTAGACGCAAACAATTGTATCAATCCGCAAAAAACAGTTCTGATGAATTCCATAGACGACCGTTAAAATTTGTGAACATCCAAATTTACACAAATGAAATAATCGGCAAACTTCTTCTTATTTGCGTGAATTCGCGTGAATAAATTGATATACACGCGAATTTCACAAAAGTAAGTTAATTTAAGATGGGAAATAACATCAACTATTTCTGTTTTTTTCTTTTTTGGTTTTCTTTTCATTTTTTTTTTTTTTCTTTCTTTCCTTAAATTAATTTTACATCTTCAACAATTCAATCGAATCTATATCTCATTGATATAATACAAGCTGAGAACGAGATGTGCAAGAGTAATGCGCTTGTTTCTGGAACTTCGTTACGTCCAATTAGGATTTAATTATCCATTTACAGGAGAAACATATACATATTTATATTATAGCACAGACTACTAGTTTATGGATAAATGCAATTAGCCTGTTGTTGAACAAAATTAATCTGTTTTCTGTTTTTCTTTTTTATCTTCCATAAGTAAATAAAAACAAAAGAATCATACATATTCATGATATTCGTCGATCATTATTGATTTGGTACATACAAATACAAAAAAAGAATATGATATATGATATTCATACATTATCGCCTTGCACGTTGATATTTATACATTCTTCTCTTTTTCTCTCGTCATTCATTTGTAACAGAATTAGTTAAATCATGTGTTTCTGAACATAATATCGTTTCACGGCATAGCTGCCAATTTGCTATGATATATAATTTATATGGTCCTATTTTCTTTCAAGTACATCTGTGCTAGTCTCTTTGTGTGATTCTTAACAGTCATGGTCATTTGAACCATAATGCACTCTACTAACTTTAAGGCGATGGAGCACCTGACTTTTTGAATAGTTTCTTGCATTTGGATAGAAATACCTTGAAGAAACATCATCCACTTAACATATAAATAAAATTATCGCAATTTGTCGTAATATAATGTGATGCAGTAAGGTCTTGCAATTAAAAATAAATTTAAATTAGTCATATTGCATCTGAATTTAAATTTTAATTTTCAAAAACAGCTGATTCTTTCGATGTAGAAAATTTCTTGCAAAAATTGAAATATCTAATTGTATATTATAAATGCGTGTATATAAAATGATTAAAATATTAGTATAGTGTACTAAAAAAAATTTATATATTTGTACTAAACGTATACGATGATACAAAATTAAAGGACAATACATTTGTGTCAGATTATTGAAAATTCACTTACAATATTGAATAATGTTTTTTTCAAGGTATATTCCAACACATATTAATAATTTCTATACGTGTTAAATATTTAAATGTATTCATTTGAAAGCTGTACGCCCAGCTGTTATATTATTGAATAAACTGAAAAACATTAACAAAATTTATATTTTGTCCTAATGTGCAATTTCAAGAGAGAAAAAAAACAATAACAAAAATCGCCAATCTTAATTCGTTAATAACGATTAATTTCTGATTAATAATAATAATAATAAAAATAATAATAATAATAATTAATAATAATAATAATAATTAA